ACAGCAGCATAGTATGGAATGGGGAGGACGGGTCCTCCAACCCTGCGCGCTCACCCTCTGTTCTTTCTCAGGACTCACCCTGTTATCCACGGCTGGGGTTAGGGATAGTGTAAGTCTCGAAGGAGTTTGGAAGCAAGGCTTTCAGGACCTCGAGGGACTAGCTGCTGTTAAGCGAGGGTTACTTTTAGTCCTTAATAAAACAAACATTAAGGCATTGAGGCAGCTATGAATTCCTGGAGTCATGTCATGCCGCACATTTCAGGTATCTATCAGTGAGCTACAAGCTGTAAGGAGATTTAATTTAAGCTACGTTTTTCTTGCCTTTGTTTCCCTCGTCAGGGGGATGGCATGAGAATAGGAACCCAGAGAAACTTGACGACAGTGTGTACCTTAAAACATAATTGGTTCTTATTTCCTAAATCTGCTGCCTTTTAAACTGCTCTCTGGAGGGACACCTGGGTGGCTCAGTTGGTTAAGCGTCTGCCTTCGGCTCAGGTCATGATCCCAGGGTCCTGGGATCGAGCCCCGCATCGGGCTCCCTGCTCAGCAGGGAGCCAGCTTCTCCCTCTCCCTCTGCCGCTCCCCCTGCTTGTACTCTCTCTCTCTCTCTCTGTGCCATATATATAAATTGTTAAAAAAAAAAAATAAACTGCTCTGTGGAAACTTAAGAAAGTCCCAGAAATAGCTAAGAAGTTGGCACTGCGGTTTGGGAGGTGGGAGGAAGGAAGCAGCCCTCCTGGAGAAAGAAGGGCCACTTCCTACCCTCCCTTACTCCTTTCCAGGACCCTTTCCGGACCTGCTGCCCTGACAAACTCAGAGCGGTCTCCCTGTCCCCACTAGAACCCCTTGAGTTTTTCAAAGTTGTGGGCACCCCACTTCAGGTGTCCCCTCCCCCCATCAAAGCTCCACCCTGTTCAAAAAGAAATAAGCCCACGTTGGAGTCATTTGCCCCCCACCACAGCACACCAAGACTTCGTCACAATGTCAGCCTCTCCCAGGAAGGTGACCTTTTGAAAGTCCACCTGACATGTCCTGCTCAGCACTCGTGAGGTCATCTGCCATCTGCGTGATACAAGCCGTTTCTCCCTGATGTCCTGGCCTGAAAGAATCCTTCCTTTTCTTTTGCTGTTGACGCCTTACCTCGCCTTTTCCTTCTTAGGAAATTCTTCATTTTTGCGTAGCTTCTCAGAGCATCTCTCTGCTTGCTGCATGGACTGCTGCCTCGTAACCAGGGGTCAGGGTGTAGGGCGCAAGAGCACCAGGCTCAGCCACTCGCCGCTGACAAAATCCAAAGGCAGAGAGAGAGAAAGCAGGGGTGAAACAAGAAAGGGATTTATTTCAGTGAGGCCAACGCGGGGAAGACAGTGGACCAGTGTCCCAAAGGCTGTCTCCAAAGTGCTGAAAATATTGCCAGGTTTACCTAAGGAAAATGTGGGACAAAGTCAATGAGTACAGCAGATAGGTTGTGAAGGTCATTGCCTTGGGTCCTTATTGCTGGGGGGTGGGGGGGGCAGTTTCGGTTCCCACCGTGGGAAGCTTTGCCCACCCAGGCTCCTGCCTGAGTTAAAAGATAAGCTGTAAGAGGAACCTAATCAATTAGAAAGGAAAACTGAGGTCCAAACGGAGGTCTTGAGGTCCTTTCAGCCCAATACATGCGTGATTCGCTGAATAAAGCCAATGAGATCCTCACATTTTCTTGGGTTGAATTTTGTGAACAGCCCTCTCCGCAGATTGGACTCCGGTGGGTGCCTGTCACTTTCTGCACCATGGAATTCTTCCCAGTAGCCACTTCGGTGTCTTCCCTGGCTTCTAAGATAGTGGGGTCCACAGTAATGGCAGTGAGCCTAACCAAAGCCACAGAGCTGGTGTCTGCAGGTGAGTGCTCACCGAGGGGCTGGTGGGGGGCGAGGAGGTGGATGGGGAGGGACAGAGTCCATTTCTAGCTTCACCTCCTTGGTTTTCACTGACGTGTCCTGATTTTAACAAAATTCTTCAGTTTGGGCCCATTTTCTTCATTAGTTTGTGTGAGCGCCCTCTCCAGTCTTAGCTATTTATTCTCGCTGTTTATCTTCCCTTTTGTGTCTGTTATAGAACAAGAATTCAACTGAGTACATTTTAAATATCTAACTGGCTTCATCAGTAGTCAATTCATGAATCTGGCCAGCTTCCCACTTAGCAAGGAGAGGGGAGCTCCAAAGGGCTACAGAAAATTCAAGTTTTTAAATGGTAGAGAACAGAAAAAAAGAAATTATTAGGAGAGAAACCATTGTTTTAGGCAAGGTCACCCTCCTAAGGGGAATGGAAGGGGCCCCTCGGTAAGTTGCCTGGCGCTCTCTGGGAAATCCCATGTTGACTGGTTAAGGGTTATGTTCCTGGGGGACTGAAACTGCAGTCAGGTTAGGTATCAAGTCTCGGTTTACACTTGGGGCCTTAACCGAAGTGACGCCATTTTGGGCCTGTGGTTTTCTTTTTTAACCCCCCCACCCCCCCAGCCCGCAATAACTCCCTCCCTCAAAGTCAACCTTTCTGATATGCTTAATGTGTATCTGTTTTTCATATGTATTTTTGCAAAATGGGTGTTGGCTTTCTGTTTGCACGTGTTTTAATTTATGTGTAGAATAGTGTGCTGCCGACCTCAGTGTATTGCTTTTTCCACCCTGAGAACTATGTTCTTGAAATTGTCAGGGTCACTAGGTGAGTATTTAGTACTAGCTTCCGACTGTTGCAAACACTGCTACTTAGCTGTCGCTCTCCTGGTGCAGACACCCAGGGCCCCCCTCGTTCCCCAGCACAAACAGCAGCATAGTATGGAATGGGGAGGACGGGTCCTACAACCCTGCGCGCTCACCCTCTGTTCTTTCTCAGGACTCACCCTGTTATCCACGGCTGCTCTGAGCCAGGCCACAGCTTCCCTGGGATCCCTGCTGGGGACGCTGAAAGCCTCCGGCCTGCTGGGATCCCCAGTGGTGAACTTGACTCTTTCCAAGGCTGGAGGTAACTGGCCCTGGGTACTCCAATACTTGCAAGTGTGACAAGGAAGTCAGGGCCTGGGCTGCAGCCCGCAGTCCTTCCTGTTTACCAGAAATACAAGGATTCCTGAGCTTATGGTAAGGAATCCTTAAAATAATCAGTATAGCCAGATTTTATCCAATGCTCTATCGTACTAGTCACTATGCTTAGCACTGGACATTTATCGGTTGCCTTAATCCCATAACAACCCCGGAAGAAGGAGGGACCCTAGGGCCTTGGGCAGGGAGGTGGGGTTTCTCCCAAGCCGGGACCGGAAGTAGAACGAAACTGCAGAGAACCTGGTGTAGGGAGGAGGCCTCAGGGCAGGGCAGGTTCTGAATAGCCCAGAAAGACCAGACCACCCTCCCATGGATGACACCTGGGGAAGCCCCACAGCAGGCTAGCAAGGGAACAGCATCCCTTTCCCATGAGCCTTCTGTGCACATCGGGACGCAGATAGGCCAAGCTGCCGGCCAGCCCTGCGTCACCTTTCCTGCCAAACCATAATGTCCAGCAGCCAATACCTTCTAACCGGGCTCTTGATTCTTGAGTCTCTGACTCCATCACCCTACCCAGGTGGCCCCTCTGGTCACTCAGGGTTTGGCTTTCACCTTTTAACTTCCTTTCCTATCACCCCAAGGCTCTCTTCCCGGGGAGCTGGCAGAGTTCATTCCTGCAGTCTTTTGCAGGCCTGGCCCCTGTGGCTCCAGCGGACCAAGACCTGTGCCTGCCCCCTAGGGACCCACCGGGTTGGAGAGCCAGGCCCATGAACACCTAAAGGGTCTCAGCGCCTTAGCGCATTGAGGGGCTGCAGCCACAGGGGGGCAATGCTGAGTTCTGATTGGATGCCTCTGGGGCAGCTTCCCGGAGGAGGGGGCAACAGGTCTGACCTTGACTCATCTCAAGTACTGTTCAAGCGTTCAACAGTGCTTGCCCTGACTTGCCAGGCAGTGCGCAATGAAGCACATCTCTCTCCACGAAGGCTCATGGCAGTCTGAAAAGATTTGCTGGACAATAGGAGAAAGTTATATAATCTCCCACTGAGAGAACATTGACCCTGAACAGCTATCCTTGTTCAGAGAGCGTGGCATCCCGTTCCTTCGCCTCGACCAACACCACCGAGCCCTAAACCACTCCGCCAAGTATCCCTCGTTCACCCAGGAAGGGATGCAGGGCAGCATGCCTGCTTTGCCACATCTGTAGGGGTGTGTTTGTTTTTGTTTTGTTCTGTTTATTTTAAACAAATCAGGCTTGGGTGGCACAGAGAAAGAGAAAGATTCATTTCTGCTCTCCCCACAAACAGCCCCCCATTGACCAATCCACAGACAGATTGAAAAAACTAAAGCAAACACTCTATGTGATAACCGGGTTTTCTGGAACGAGGACCTCAAACCCTGTCTCCAGGTAACTCCAGGTTAAAAAAGCATGCAAATCCATTTGGGACAAGTCATTCGAGTCTGGAATCAGCCTCCCTGGCAATCCTTGCCAAGCTCAGGGCTGCAGGGTCCCCTTTCCCAGAAATCCCCCATGTCTGAATGAAGCAGGGAGGCCTCAGGTAGGTCATTTCTTCCCGTCTCTCAACATGGGCAGCGCCCTCCCCCTAGGTGGGCTGTAGGTTCAGGGAGCCAGGGAGAGCCCAGTGTGGATCCACTCACAGAATGTTCTTTTGGTTTCTAGCCAAGGCTGCAGCAGCTGTGATAGGAGGAGGTGAGTCTCTGCAGGGAAGGGGTCCAAGTCCTTATCTGCCCCCCCAAGCCTGGGAGCAACCGTTCATGTCCAGGCCTTGCGCAGATGGTGGGGAGGAGGTGAATCCATGGAGATGGTCAGGAAGCCAGGAACAGGAAACAAGAAGCAAGGAGCTTGGACCCACGGGTGTCATGGAAACTGTACAATGGAGGCAGTCCCAGCAGGGGCCCCATCTCCTCTCACACGGGACATTCACTGTGTGACCTTGGGTGTGTGTGTCTTTGAACTCTTCCAAGCTCCTGTTTCCTCTCTGAGAAATGGGCCATGTCCACAGTCTCTTCTGAGCTCAGAGTTCACCCCCTTGCTTGCCCCCCACCCCGGCCGAAGCCCCCTGAGCCTGACTGAGTTGTGTGTGGGGGGGTCCCTTCCCCTGAGCCCTCCTCTTAACCCAACTCCTCCCCCCACAGCCCTGTCCGTGGCTGCTGTGCCCCTGGTGCTGGAGGTAGCGGGCTTCACCGGGGCCGGAATCACCGCCTCCTCGCTAGCGGCCAAGATGATGTCCGCGGCTGCCATCGCCAACGGGGGCGGGGTCGCCGCTGGCAGCCTGGTGGCCATGCTGCAGTCCGTGGGTAAGTGTCCCCCGCGGGGCTTGCTGTGCAGTGTGAGGAGGACAAGAGCCTCAGGACCCAGCCCAGATCTTAGCCTCACCCACCCTCAGTCTCTGTCTCTAAGTGTCACCCTCCAGGTCTTCTCTGGGAGGTGCAGGAGGGAGGGACGGAACCCTGGCCCGGGGTGTGCAGGCTTCAGGCTGGCTACCCGCAGCGGCTTGGCTGGGTGCCTCAGGGATGTCCGCCCCACCTGGGCTCAGCCTTCTTCCCTGGAGAGTGACAGCTCCCGGTTCTGGCTTTCTCCATTGGAGCGCATGGCCCAGGGCTGCAGGGCCCTGCCCTCCCAAGGCAGAGATCCTGAGGGCTTTGGGCAACAGGAGGGTGCTGACTGGGGTTCCGGGGCCTCAGACCCTCCCGAGGGGCCCTGGCGTCTTTGACCTCACGGTTTTGTCCCACGCAGCTGGCCCAGTTCTGCAGCTCTGAAAAGCTCAGCTCCTTCCACTCTGCTCACCCTCTGCTTCTCCCCCAGGAGCAGCTGGACTCTCACCGTCATCCAAAATCATCCTGGGCTCCGCGGGGACAGCGCTCGTGTCCCGTATGGTGGGCCTGTAATAGTTTCCGGCCTCTCCGCCTGCAGAGAAGAGCCCTGCCGCCCCCGGCCCACCCGATGCAGGGAGGGACCAACGCTGGGTGACAACTGTACCCTGAGGAAAATAAGGAATAAAAATTGTTGTTGCAGCCCCTCCTGAATCCCTTCCTTCCTGCTTGAAGTCAGAGGGTCGGGTCACTCCTCTTTCCCAGTCTTGTGGTCAGAGCGACGTGGCGTAGGGGTGCAGTCGGCTGGGATGGGCCAAAATGTGCAGACCGGTGGCTGCCCCTGCCCAGCTTGTGACTCTGTGTGTGACTTAGGGCAGGCCACCTCCTCTCTGGCCTTCATTGTCCCTCTCAGCGTGGGGAGTTGGTCTAAATGACCTCAAAGATCTCAGCCAGGGTGGGTGTTTGGCTCAGTCCCTGGGCAGTCAGGAACCGTGTGGGGCTCCCGGGCCGCGGGCGAGGGCATCCCTCCAAGCTGCAGGTCTAATGGCTCTGTCCTAAGTGGCCTGACTCCGAAGCCCCAGGCCCCATGAGTCACTGTTCCATCCTCAAGTTAAAGTCCGCTGTCCAGCCCTTGCTGTTGTCCTCAGCAGCTAGAAGGGAACTCTAGTTTGCCGGGGGCTCTGACCTTTCTAATTCAGGGCCCTAGTCCCTAAATGTCCTCCTCCCAGAACAAGATCTTAGAGAAACTTCTCTTCGCTCGGACGGCTTCCAACGCGGAGCATCAGAAATTTGGCTTATGTACCGATTTGCTCCTCCTTTCCACAACTCTTGGAGCACGTCCTGTGGGTCAGGCCTGGCCAGGTGCTAGGGAACTTGCTGGGGAACTTGGAGTTTTCCTAGACAGCTGGGAGAATCTGCTGGGGGGATGGACCAACAGGTAGACAGCGATGCTGTGCTCTGGTAAGTGCCGTGCCGGAGACCAGCCCAGGGCTCCGGGGCCCAGCAGAAGGCACAGAAAGTCTTAGTCTGCTATAACAAAAAGCCTATAAACTGGGTGGTTTATAAGTAACAGAAATGTATTTCTCACAGTTCTGGAAGCTGGGAAGTCAGAGATCAAGGCACTGGCAGCCCCAGGTTGCCGGTGAGAAGGTGTTTCTTCGAGGGCCCCTTTTTGCTGTGCCCTCACGTCACGGAAGGGCAAGAGCTCCCTCTGGCCTCCTTTGTAAGGGTACTAATCCCACCCAGGAAGGCTCCACCCTCGTGATCTCAGCATCTCCCGAAGGTCCCACCTCCTGATACCGTCATCTTGGGAGTTAGGACTGCACCCTGAATTTTGGGGTACACAAACATTCATACCATAGCAGGCATGTTGGGGAAGAGAAGTTTGGGTTCTATCCTGAGGGTTGTGGGGAGACAAGCGTTTCCAACCTGATGTCGACCCAATCGCAGACCTGCATCCCTGCTCGCTCTGTCCTGGGTGCTGTCAGCAACCTGACAAGAGCTTGGTTTCCAACAACAGCCAAACGTAGGAGTGTGGAGCTATGGACATTGAAAACAGTTAAGCGACTCATCCATGTCCGCCAGTGGTGTCTTGTTGGGTCACTGAAGCATGGTTGCTACCTAGCCATAGGAATCACCCCTTAGGGTAGTAATTCAATATTTGGTTCTTTTTCTTTCTTTTCTTTCTTTGATGCCTCCGAGAATCTGATAAAGGCTGTGAAGCCTCTCCCCACCAAAACACACACATTCCCAAAATAATGCCTCCAACTTCAAGGCCTTCATTAGAACTTCTGAAGGCCTCCTTGGAGCTGAAGGTCAATGCCCCTGCTTTAACTGGAGGGCCGGGTCTCCACCAGGGCACGTGGGTCTGCCCTGGATCTGGAAGGTTGGACAGGTTGGCTCACTCCGTGCCGAGGCCCAGCAGACCACTAAGCAAGACCCATCGTTCTGGGCTCTGTGCCCTGACCTCCTTCGCTCCACTCCCAGGTCCCAGGGGGCCTGTTTTATGCTGACCTGCTTCTTCCCCTTTGGCTGTCAGGTTTGGCCTCTGGAATAGGTGGATTCCTTTCTTTATTTTTTTATTGTTATGTTAATCACCCTACATTACATCATTAGTTCTTGATGTAGTGTTCCATGAGTCATTGTTTGTGCCTAACACCCAGTGCTCCACGCAGATCATGCCTTCTTTAATACCCATCACCGGGCTAACCCGTCGCCCCACCCCCTCCCCTTGGAGTAGGTGGATTTCCAAGCATGGTGCCCAGTGACCCTCAGTCTCACGTACCGTCCCGCCCTTAGGGTGTGGTGGGTCCTGTGTACGTGATAAGATACCACTTCCTTAATTATGTTCAGTTATATAACAGAGGGAGATAATGCAGGTGTGTCAAAGCTCAGCTCATCATATGAGCCCTTTAAAGGCAGAGAATGTTCTCTGCTCAACACAGAGAAGGGATCAGAGATTTGAAGTGGGAGGGGGATTTGAAGATTCTTACCGTGGGCTCCGAATGCAAGCCCCATCTGGCTGAACAGTTGATTTTGGTCTTGTAAAACCCTAAGCAGACAACTCGGTGAAGCCTGCCTGGACTTCTGCCCTCCACTATAACGTAATAAATGGGCCCTGATTTTTGGCTAGGTGCATGCTCCCCACGGAAGGACTGCATTTCCAGTATATCCGGACTGGGTTCTGGCCAGTGGAAGGTGAATAGAATGAAGGATGCCATTCTCTGGGCATGCAGTTAAAGGGAGCAGGTGGGCCCACCTTTCCCTGTGGTCTCCTTCCCATGAGTTCTTCTACAGGCAGGGGGATGACCATCTTGAACCTGCCGATGAGAGCAGCACATTAAGGAAGGCAGAACAAGGGGGCGCCTGGGTGTTTCAGTTGGTTAAGCGTCTGCCTTCGGCTCAGGTCATGATCCCAGGGTCCTGGGATCGAGCCCCGCATCGGGCTCCCTGCTCAGTGGGGAGCCTGCTTCTCCCTCTCCCTCTACTGTTCCCCCTGCTTGTGCTCTCTCACTTTCTCTGTCAAATAAATAAATAAAATCTTAAAGAAAAAAAAGAAAAAAAGGAAGGCAGAACAAGACGTTGGCAGCCTGGGCCTCCAGGAGCCGAGCCACCCCTACCCCACCCTCCCACCCCCAGCTGAGACTCATCTGACTGACTAACAGAAAGAAACTTCTCTTGTTTAAGCCAAGAGGGTCTCTTTCACAGGAAGCTGACATAGTGTAATGAACACAGTAGGGGATCTTCCTGTGGAGCAACAGAGGAATGGGCCCAACAGAGGGTTGCATTTACCTGTGCTGTCCTTTTCCAGACATCACTACAATAATAGTAATGGACTAAAGAGGCTTAGCACCACGTGGGCAAAGAGAAGGCGAGAGATGACAGGAACACAACTTTGGGAGCCAGAAGTCACATGGACACAGGGTTTCACTGAGCAGTCCCAGGAAAGCTGAATCTTAAGTTGTCAGTGAAGGGGAGAAAGACACAGCTCTCCTCCGGAGGACCCCCAAGGGCCCCACTCCGGGAGGGAGGCACTGGGGGGTACCAGCACAAGTCTGTTGGGTATCTGTTTAAGAACGAGGCAGATCCCAGGGGTCCCCTCCAGCAGACAACTGGCACTTTAGTTTTGGAAGGTTTGGGTCTCTGGGACAAGGGGCACCTGATGTGGCTGAGAGCGGGAGCTTCATACTAAAAAATGAAGAGTTCCCATCCAAGTGTAGAGACCCCCGTTCTTCGTCGATAGGCGCCCAGAGCGCGGCAGCCAGGTTATGACAGCCAGAACAAAGGGAGGAGGCTTCTTCTCAGGAATCTTATCTGCCCAAGAAAAGAAATGTTCCCATTCTGACACCGGGGGGAGGGGTGCTCATCGAAAGGCTCAGCCAGGGCCGCCTGGGTGGCTCACTCAGTTAAGCAGTTGACTCTTGATTTCAGCTCAGGTCATGATCTCAGGGTTGTGAGATCAAGGCTTAAGATTTGCTCTTTGCCTCTCCCCCGACCTCTAAGAAAATTAAAAAAAAAAAAAAAAGGCTCAGCCAGATCCCAGTGCACTCCCGAGTTGACAAGAGCCACTCCTGCCGCAGAACCTGACATGAGACATCAGTGAGGGCTCAGACACAAAAGGGAAATGCTGTCTCTGGCCCTCTCTCTCCTTTCACCCCCAGCCCCGACACACTCACCTTCTGATGGAAATGCAGTGTCGTCACTGGTCTCCCCACCCGAGAGCAGAGGGACCCAAGGGGGACCACGGTGCCTGATCTGAGAGTGTGGAAAACAGTAGGTACAGAATGGGGTCCTGAGGTGCGGGGAGTGTGGCTGGCCCAGGAGGGATGCTCCGCTCTATGGCTTCCATCAGCACCCCGTCTGGGTCAGAGAAGAAAGGGAGCCCTGGCACAGTCCTCCTGAGTCGCCACAGAAACTTCTGAGATGCCGCTAAGGCACCCCGAATACCCACAGAGCAAAGCTAAAAGTGCCGGAACAGGGGGATCAAAGCAAGTAACATTAACAGCAGATCTGCTAGGGTCAGGACATTGCCCATGCCGCATCCCATAAAATCTACACACCATTCCAAAAAAGGCAATGCTGCTGCCCCGGTTTTATAGATCTCGTTGCAAGAACCTGTTAAGAGGCACGGGTGACGTGGGTGGCTCAGTTGGTTGGGCGACTGCCTTCGGCTCAGGTCATGATCCTGGAGTCCTGGGATCGAGTCCCACGCTGGGCTCCCTGCTCAGCGGGGAGTCTGTTCTCCCTCTGCCCCTCCCTGTCTCATGTGCTCTCTCATTGTCTCTCTCTCAAATAAATAAATAAACAAATCTTAAAAAAAAAAAAAAAAGCCTCGGCATCGCTCAGTCAGTTAAGCGTCTGCCTCTGGCTTAGGTCACGATCCCGGGGTCCTCAGAGGGGAGTCTGCTTTTCCCTCTCCCTCTGCCCCTCCCCACCCCACTCATGTGCTTGCTCACTCTCTTTCTCTCTCTCTTAAATAAATACATAAAATCTTAAAAAAAAACCAAAAAACCTGTTAAGACCCAAAGTCCCTAACTCTTGCTGTTATCGAAGATAGGCACGTTTGCCCGGGCTGA